GTCTGGTGCCCACACCCATGCTACCACCCAGTCATTCAAAGTCATTTAAATCACTTTTCTTTCCCATTCTTATGTTTGGTTTGAAATTCAGCACGTCACCAGGTTTACATGCCTGACTGATTTACTGTCATGCGATTGCCTGAGATATTTGCTGTAACATACAGTTGAACAGGTGTAAAATATGAGAGAGAGAGAGATATGCACCAGGAAACGTGATTCTGAAAAGTAACACAAATCCAAAAACTATATGCCATGACTAGCTGTGCTTCTCGACGTTATCAAAAACTGAACTACGCACAAGGCAGTAAAAACAAGTTTATTATGCTATTCAGCAAGGACTGACAGTGGCATGGACTGTAGTACAAGTTTTGCATTTAAAGGCATCTTGGCACTCCTCCATGATGCAGGTGTAGCTAACAGCTCTGTTTGTTAACAGAGGAAAACTCATCTGTTCCTGAAGCAGAGTTAACTTACAAATTACCTGCTTGCTAGCAAGTTTTCTTCAACAAACTTAGTATTTCTCTCTGCTGCACTGGAATCATCTTAGTGACACCAACTAATTCATAAAGTAATATTATATGGGCTTTATGCTGCAATATAAAGCACCTTGGGGCGACAGTAATTTTTTTTTATTTTTTTTATTTTTTTGGCTCTCTATATACGATATGTAACTGAATTAAAATAAATCAAACATTTACTGACTTCATCCACCTGTGTGTGTGTGTGTGTAGACGGAATCACAACCACATCTGGCAAGTCCTGATGTATGCACGTACAGTTTTTTACAAGATTAACACCACAGACCCACTCAACCCAGAGGCTGCTGTACTGTGAGTTTAACATTCTTGGTTTTTGCCTTTTTTTTTTCCCTTAATGGAACTTGTTGTGTGTGTGTGTATATTTTATTTTTCCTCTGAAAATGTTTAAAAAAAAAAAAAAAAAAATCTTGTTAGTCATTTATAGAAAAACAAAATTAAAATCTCGACTAAGAAACTGGTCTTTTAGCACTCGGTGCAAAGTGATGTTTCTAGCTAAATAAGTTTGACACTTGCTTTTTTTTTTTTCTTTCTTTTTCCCCAGCTACGAGAAGGATGTGCAGTTGTTCAAAAGCAAAGTGGTAGATAGTGTGAAACTATGCAACAGTCATCTTTTTGATCAGCCAAAGATCGATGATCCCTACGCAATAAGGTTGGTCAACTGTCCATTTCACATTCTAGTGCTGACCACAATAAGGAAAAAAGTGTGTGTGTTTGTTAAAACTCTAAAGAGGGAAAAATTATCTTGTGTTCGGTTCTCCACTTTGATCCATTGGTTTCAGTTTTTCCCCATGGAACCCAGCTGTACATGAAGAAGCAAAAGAGAGGATGTTCACATACAAGGTAAGTTTTGCTAAATTAAAACTTTGCATTTTCGAAGCAGGAGAGAGTTTAATCTGCATATTTTATCTGGTGATTCTTGTTATGCAGCTTTTAATTTGTTGTTGTTGCCCTAGAGACGACCTGAGGATCACCACAAGGCATCTCAGGCATCGGGTTTGTCTTGGGTAAAGCCTGGCTCGACACAGCCCTTCAGCAAAGAAGACAATCCTCCCCAGAGCTGAACCTGCAATGTCAAGATAGTGGCCACTAGAGGGAGTCAGAAGCATCAGATTCCATGCCACAGGCTTGCATCAGCCATCTGTGTGAAAGTAGAACCTTGGTAGTTGGCAACTTTATATTAGCTCTTCACATTTATTGCTTGGCTTTAAAAGCTTTTTTTAGGCCTCAAAGAGTTTTAGAAAAAGGAAACCAAGTTTGTATCATATTTAAATCAACAATGACAAATGGATGCGTCAACATCCTTTAGGGTAAGATGCAATCAAAGTACATTCTCATTTTCGTTTTCTTATCCATTCACATATTTAGTTACGTTATGACATACAGCTGCAAAAGGCTGTGGACGATGTGAGTGAAATTATTTTCATTCTTATTGTAAGTACAGTGGATTGCATATCAATACCACTTGTTCAATTTGGCTCAGGACTGTTTATTTGTAAGACTCGGAATGTTTAATCACAGCTGTGTTGGTGGGGAAAAAAAACCCTGTCACATCCTCCTCTATTACCAAGTTAGGTTGACATTTGCTTTATATTTGTGTTTTATTGGACAATGAGTTATTTTTTATTTCCACTGTGTAAACGGTTGTCTTACTTTGCTCCTAATATTTATGTAAAGCAGAGTTGGCAAATATGGTTTTAAATAAGATTCTAAGTAAGTAAGCTTATGTATTTTGCCAGATTTGAAATAATTTTGAATGTTTTATATATATATCATTGGTTATTAAAGGTTTGATGTGTAAATAATGGATTCTATGCTGAGGTTTAAGAGACATCTGCATTGGTGCTCTGTAAGAGAATGTCTTTTTTTTTTTT